CCTTATGTTTAACAGTTGAACAAAGACATTTTGAGTTTGGTGTTAATAAGTAAAAGTATTTATTACACTGAAAAGGAAATTAACTTGAAAATTGCAGTTAGCCAAACTAAATAGTTCTTATAAATTCCCTTCACAGGAAATCTTAATTCACACTTAATTAAGGGTTAAAATCTCTGTTTCTATCTATTAGTAATTAGAATTTATAGTTTTTTTTAATTATGTGATACTACTTCAATATTTCCAAAATAAGAAGAAACTGGAGTGAAGGACAAAAAAGAACCAGCAGAGAAACTGTAAAAGCTTCACAAAAACCTGAATAAAATATTCATATCAATCGCATCCCCGTAATTCAGATAAATAAAGTATCCACGAAAGTCGCGCCTATTCGCCTAACAGTACTTGGCGTACTACACTTTTGTGGAAAGACTAAATTACCCTTTACATTAGAATATTATCTCCCTTTTTTTTACTTAAGAAAATTAATTACTATTATTAATAGGTGCATATTTTTTTCGAAAAAATAGTAGTATGAATTTAATTTTAAAACGTTTTATTGTTCAAATTTTGAAAAAGTTATGGATCACACTATTTGAGTCGTCCTCTTTACTTCCCCTTTCTCTGAAGAAATGTACTAATGAAGCCCATACAGAAAAGGACTACTTTGCCCTTACCTTTCTCGTTCTTCAATAACATTCCATTCCAGAATCATACTCCATTCTTTCCTTTATTTACTTACCCCTGACAAATTCTGCTTTCCCCAATTCTCATTTTCATGTGAAATGTCCACACCGGCGGCAACTTCACCGGCCACCACGATTAAACCAGGAGATTACGCTCATAGCCCTGTACATTACGCCGTCGTTTTAGGAGATCATTCTACTCTAAGCAGACTCGTCGCTTCTCTTCCTCGACCCGCAGATCCAACTCGGATACAAACTGAGGCCGACTCGCTTGCTCAGGAACGAATCGCTGAAAAAATCACCGCCGTACTTGACCGCCGTGACAACCCTAAGCGTGAAACGCCACTACACCTCGCCGTCCGTTTGAATGACGTGTATGCTGCTCGGACACTAGCCGTTGCCGGTGCTGACATTTCGCTTCAGAATGCTGCTGGTTGGAATGCTTTACAGGAAGCTATTATGCGGAGATGCTCCGATGTCGTTTCAATTTTGGTACAGCATCATCATTTAGGTGCTTGGTACAAGTGGCGCCGCCGTCTACCTCGACTGGTTGCTGTTCTCCGCAGAATGCGTGACTTCTACATGGAAATTTCTTTCCATTTCGAAAGTTCGATTGTTCCCTTCGTTGGAAAAATTGCGCCTTCTGATACGTACAAGATCTGGAAACGCGATGGTAATCTTCGAGCAGATACATCTTTAGCCGGTTATGACGGCTTGAAAGTTCAGCGAGCTAATCAGAGTTTTCTCTTTCTCGGTGATGGTGACCGGAAGTCTGATATTCCGGCTGGTTCATTGCTAGTTTTGAACCACGATGACCGTAAAATGTATGATGCTTTTGAGAATGCTGGTTCTCCTTTGAGCGATTCCGACGTTGCGAGTTTCTGTAATCAAACAAGTGTGTATCGTCCTGGGATGGACGTGACGAAATCAACACTAGTTGGCCGAACAAATTGGAGAGGGCAAGACAAAACAGAGAACGTCGGAGAATGGAAAGCCAGGGTTTATGATGTGAATAATGTTGTTTTCAGCTTCCGATCGCGAAAAATTTCCGCAGCTGAAAGCGAACAAATTCTGCCATTAGACTTAGAATTAGAAGAGGATTCCGAAGACGGTTTCCTCGTCGCAGAGAATCCACGGTTTAGCGTCTCAACCGCCGCTACCTCCGTCGGAGATAGTAACAAACAAAGACGTCACAGCAGTTTCACTCGAGAGGAAAGGGATTACGTTACCGTTTCTCGAAGAAGCGTTGACATTATTCCGGAACCACGGCGGAGAGCGGCGGCGATACCGGTTGCACCACCGCCAAATACGAAGGAGAAGGAATATGTGAAGAGCCTTAAACCGTCCGTTTGGTTAACAGAGGAATTCCCGTTGAAGACGGAAGAGTTGCTGCCGTTACTTGACATATTAGCGAACAAAGTGAAAGCCGTTAGACGAATGAGAGAGCTGTTAACCACCAAGTTCCCTCCGGGGACATTTCCAGTCAAGGTAAGGGGTAAAATTGATTTTTCACATTCGAAATTCAGAGGTCCCACGAGATTCTCATTTCTTCTGATGAAAGCTTTGATATTGTGTTTGTGTTTTTTCCCTCTTTATTTCTTCTTTTCATGCCCAAGTGTCTGTTTTGCTTCAGCTCCTTGTCACACTTTTTTTTTTTGTTTAGTGTTCAACGCAAAGAACCTTCCTGGGACCCAATTTAATTATAATTTATATTACTGATTGACAGTTGGCAATACCAGTGGTCCCTACAGTGAGGGTAGTAATCACATTCACAAAGTTTGTAGAGTTACAACCCATTGAACAGTTCTACACTCCATTTTCAAGTCCAAGGCACCTCCTTCATGGTGGTGATACTGAGGATGAAAGTTCAGGAAACAATTATTATTCCCTTCCTTCATCATTGTCTTCATCGTCATCTTCGTGGCTGTCGAGGAGCAATAGCCGGTCGTGTTCAACTAGCAAGCTGCCACAGGAGAGCTGCAATGGAGCACAACAGGCAGAGCCATTTGCAATACCTGGTGGATATAGTTGGAGTAGTTTTGATGTGAAAAATAGGAAAATGAAGAAATCCAAGTCTACTAGGAGAACTAAGTGACTGTCTTAATACTAGTAATTCTTTTAACATTTGATGTGATTCGATCAACTACTCTGTTTTTTTTCTTTCTTTCTATTACTTGCTAATTTCTAGTATAGTTTGTAGATATTAAGGAGTATCTAACTTTGAATCTCCTATACTATTGTTCTTGGATTATCAATTCTCATAGTGGTCATTCAACTGAGTCTCTCAAAATCGAATCGTTGAATTTATCGCATTGATACAGAGTTATTGAATCGAAGGTGATCATTTTAGGTTTAAAAAGCTGCATTTTTTTTATCATCATATAGAAGAGTACGTACTATGGCGTGGGAGCAAAAGGCCTGCAAATATTGTTGATGGGTTGCGAGTTTTGCAATGTCATGTAACTGTGGGGTTTTAACATATAATAGTTGTTGCTCAAAGCAAAGACATCCTCTTCTTTTTTATTCCGACAAAGCAAAGATATTTTGACTTGTGTATATATTTCAATAATTAGCAACAACCACTAATGATTTAAGAGGTCAAAACAGGTGTATTCAATCATTTTGACATCAATTTTATGTCAACGAATTTTTACTATACGTCTCTTTTCTCTGTCTCTCAAATCAATGGTATGATAAAATGGGAACTCATGGTTTAACTTTTTTGTACATTGGGACCTATCTTGCAAAACCAGAACAAGTGAAGGAATAAATTTTGAGAATTTCCATTATAACAGACTTGTGATTCTATCCTGTAACTTAATCCAGAATTGTCGCAAAGACATTTCAAATCCAAGAAAATCTTAGGCACTCTTGTTGCTTTTTCTTATAGAAAATTGAGTTGTGTAAGTTCTTTTAAAAAGGTTATTCAGTGGGAGAATTTTACACACTATCTAGTTCACATATACTATGACTTGTGTTTTAACACTACTTCAATCCAAAACTTAGATGAGGAAGCAAGCATGAGTGGTAGTGGGGTTGGGGGAGAGGACAACAATTTTGTAGCAAGTGCTTTATCATATGAGGAAAAGACAAACCATCACTCTTACTTTTGGTTAACTAAATCCTTCCACTTCATCCACTAATTTCTACTTTTATACACAACCATTCACAATATAGCTAAGTAGGTGATAATAGAGAACCTTTTCTCCAAAGAAGAATAAATAATGTTTGCTTCAAGAGAAAGTAACCTTGTGAGTTCGCTAGCAAGTCTTCTATAAAAGGAACACACAGGTTTAAGAGACTTATCCTTGGGCGCTCCTCTTATTAGTTCTACCACTTACAAGCAGTAATAAAGTAAAATCCCCAGCCCCTTCTCTGTTTTCTCTTTTATTCTTTACAAAATCATCTTATATTGTGTTGTTGACAGGATTTATGGCTAGTGATGGACCAAGTTGGGCAGATCAATGGGGTGCAGGAGGGATAGGTGCCATGGATGAAGATGACAGCTATTATAAAAGCAACAAAGACAGTGAAAACAACAAGAAAGCCACTAGTTCATCTTCATCAGGAATTGGCAAAGTCAAAGCTGTGGCAGTGGCTGGTGCACAGAAAGTGAAAAATGGTCCTTCCATGTTGATCAAATGGGTTAGGAGCAAATCCCAGAAGAAGCATCCCTCCATTTCATGAAATGAGGAGGATCAAGGATTATCTAATCTTTATCTTGCCTTCTGTAAGAGGATTTCAGATCAAACATGTCTATTTATGCGTTGTTATGCTTCCTGGTAGTAGTTTGTTTCCGGGTGAGTTTAAGGTCATGGTGTAAAGAATATGTATGCAATCAGATTACTAATAAGGTAATTACAATTGTTCTCTCTCTAATAGTATTAGATATCAAAGTACACTAGTACAAATATTGTCAGAGCATACATCTCAAAACCAAGAGATGTAAGCAAAGAATATAAAATACTTGGGACATATACAGTTGTGCGAAGGACAAATATATTGATCATAATTCCACAGGGATCACATAATTGTTTTCGTCTCTGCTGAGAACAAAACCTGAGACCCCATCATTCTCTACTCACTACATTGAACACTAGACCATGCCCTTGGGTGCTAAGGTTTGGTGTTCTTTACATGATTTAAAAGAAACAAAACATCAGTTAATTGCTAGCAAGATTTGATCTTAGCTATAAGGGCAAGGTTATAATTTCTGGCAAACACCAAACTCAAACTATGGGCTTTTCTTCCAAATCAACAGCAAGTACAAGCGATTACTGAAGAGTCAAACGATGCAGTAAAAGGAAAAGTAAGTATTACTTATAGAAAGATCAACTTGATTTAAACGAAAGGCACTATAAGATAAGAGATCAAGAGTTGAACATCTGTAAGTTATAAGGATATTCCAAAGAGGAATATAAATTTGATTTTATGTGGAATGCAAACCAACAACTACAGTTAACTGTTCATGATGAGATCAAGGAAATGTCAGATTTACATTTGAGATATTAATTTCCAAGCTCAACGAACCCAAATGTGTTTTCTCCACTGTATGTCATGTAGAGAAATCCATCTTCATCTTTATTTTCCTCATAAATTGCAGACATCAGAGAAGCTGAAAAGAAAGAAGATGTAATTATACAACAATCCTAACCAGTAAATGAAATAACACCATCTCTCTGCTTACCTGTTGGAGGCAAAGTGTTCTTGACAAAGACAAAGATGGCCTTTGAAGCACCGAGCTTGATCCTCTTCCGCACCACATAAACAAATTGACCAACAGTCAAATCAGCTGGGACAAGGTATCTGCATCACAAGTTAAGACAATTGAGAATTACTAGAGCAGCTACAGCAATTCAAACTTATATCCTCATGTGTTAGATCCATAAAAGACAACAACAGTGTTGGATGCTATCAACACCTTGACCACTAACGAACACTTGACATTCTCGCCAGCAATTTCCACACACAATTCCATTTCTACATGGAAAGAAAGTGAGGACATGCATACAATCATTTAGTTACAAGAACCTCAAGTAAGGACAACACCTTAGTTGAATTCTGTATTTTCAATTTATCAAGAAAGCATAGCATCTCCAACCAACCCATGTGGCCGATTCTCCTAATGGTTATTGGTATTAAAAACAGTTCCCCCCATCTGATAAATTGGTAAGAAAGAAGAATATCAAGATATCTTGAGAAGATTGCAGCATTCATAAAGTATAACCACCACCGAATTCCCATGATAAAAATCCTTATCTCAGACTAATTATGACAAACAAGACAGCAAAAACATGCATATTCCAGTTTTCAAAAAACCAAAGAGTTGATCAAAATGATGCAACACCTACATCACATGCCAAAACACAATAAATATAACTGGATTTTGTGGATTTAATTACCTTAGGATAAAAGCTCAGAAAAGCACTTGATTCTAAAAAGTGAACATCTAAGGCATAAATAAAGTAAAAGAGAAAAGTAGCAACTTACTTCTTTTTATCGATGTCAGGGACATCACTCTTCTCTGCCTTCTCAACAATCACCTAAAATAGGAAACATGAATGTCAGAGAGAAGCTACAAAGAGTACTACGTGTGACTTAATGCCAAGAATTTCTTGGGATAACAAAGATCATACCGGAATTCGATCAGGATACTTCTCTCGGATGCGAGAAGATTCTGACTGCCTCCTCTCTATAACCAAAACCAAATTTTGGAATCATCAGAATTTACACCACAAAATACTTGCTTTTTTGTTTGATATTTGCAAGAAATGGGGATACACTCGGGAGAAATCTGGAAAAGTTGAAAAATAACCTTCGAGCACATAAACTTATAATTCAAAAGAATACATAACTTTTTTTGACCAATAAGTCAAATCTCAGCAAAAGAATAGCACATTTTTCGTATTTATAAAGTAATGAAGCCAATAATGCTAACTCTAACATGACAATAGCATAAATGTAAAATAAGCTTGTTCCAAGAGAGCATGCTGAATAACTTTTTTTGGAGACTCAAGCCACAGGGAACACTCAAAGGATAATTTTCCAACCCAAAATTCTCAAACCAGATATCGCCATACTCAGATAGAATAAAAACATGACATAGACCAATATAACAGGATAATAGCTTCAAGTATGAGATTTTTCCCAGAGAAGGTCATTAAACTGTAAAAATACAAGCTTCAAGCACTAGAAAGTATAAAACAAGCTTCAAGCACTAGAAAGTATAAATGTCAATGAAGGGAGATAAACCTCGTATATGCACCTTCAAACAGTTCATATATGCACCCCAAAAAGTTCATGTCTCAATGGTTGCCTCACCATATAAAGAATCAAACAAGTTTAGAAACCTAAAAACATCACCAGAAGAATTAACAACATCGAACAACTTGAATGCAAGAGGGCAAGTGCGTATCAATATCAAGAAACCCGACAACATATCCCAGGAATGATCCCAATACCCAATCAAGTTTTTCAGCATGACAACTAGATTGCCGGTGTAATCTCACAAAGTGGGGTTCTAGGAAGGGTAGGATTTTTTCAGCATGGTCGAAACAACAAATAATTAAACTATGATCATCCAAGAAACTTCAAGAAAGACACATAAACAAGAACCCATACACACAATGAAACTTCTTGTAGTATAAGTAAAACAATAAAAAAAAAAACGAATTAGAAAGAAAAACAATTACCCAAAGGGTGTTCAAGCTTGAAAGAACTTTTGGCCATGACAAGACTGAAACTTTGATCCTACCTGCAAAATTCAGACAGATAAACACCACCAGAATCCAAGAAAACCCTAAAAAATTACACACAAATATACATTGTAATGAACAATAGAAATCATCAAAAAGTTCAATTCACGCAAAAGGGTATCTTTAAAACGTACCAGAAAAGAAGAAAGTCGAATAATTGAAGAGGGTTTTTGAACAATTTCTGGGTATCTAAAGGGGATAAATTGAAGAGGTTTTATTGCTAATGAATTGGAGAAAGTTTGGATTCACAAGGAAACTCCATTTACAAGTATTTGTTTCGCTTCCAACTCTGTTCGGTGAGAATTTGTCGGATCAATAATACGAGGTCGTGCGGTGTCTTTAAAGGTCAACACGGTGCCGTTTTGAGACTCATTGGCTTTAGAGTGAGGATATGTTTTGGTCACCTTATATTCTAGTAATTCTAGTAGGATATGTTTTGGTCACCTTATATTCTAGTAATTCTAATCTAATTATTTGGTAAGCAATAAGAATAGTGGTACCTAACCTGTTTGTTTTACAATTCCCACATACAAAGTCTAAGTAAAGAATATGTATAAATTCAAATAAATTCTATATAAATTAGAATAACTTATTGTTACTTTTTATTACCTGCCAAGTTTTGTTTTGTAATTCTTTATATATATATATATATTTAGATGTTGGTCAAATTTCATATAATTTGATTTTACAAGCTAAATATAACAAATAAAAGTGAACTACAAAATAGAGAGTAGCTACAATAGCCAAAAAAGGATACATATATATATATATATAAATGTTGGTCAAATATCATATAATTTGATTTTACAAGCAAAATGTAACAAATAAAAGTGAACTATAAGTAGAGATAGATACAATTGCCAAAAAAAGAATAAATTTTTTAATCAACTTGTTTCAAAATCGTATTAATTAGATTATAGGTGCTAGTTTAATTTGATTCATAAATATGTAGCTACCTCGTCGAACGGCAAATTAGTGGGTCTTAGGGCTTAAAATAAATGTTTAAGACTTTAAATCAATCAACTCAAGTTGACAAGTCCAAGTCAACCCTAATTTTGAACCCAAAAAACAGGGTAAACAACAAATTTATTAATTATTATTATGTCTAAGGGCCCGTTTGACCATAAATTTTGCAAGTAAAACTTGGGAAAAAACTTGGCAAATTTTGTTTGTTCATACACTTTTTTATTATTTGGCAAATTTTTTTGACAAATTTTCTAAATTCCCAAATTCTAGAAAAAATTAGTATTTGGGCCAAATTTCATTATTTGGAAAGTTTTAGAAATTCAATTTTTACCCTTAACTTTTTATTTTACAAAAACAATATAGTTATTGACACCAACCAATTCAATTAGCTCTCTTCTACATGCATTCTTTTGATTTCATACATTCCTTTATTACAGTTAGTCTTAATGAACTAGCTACTAAATAAAACATGAATTGCATTTATTTTATTTTGGTAGATAAATATTACGTTGTTGATGCTGGTCTACGGAACACAAGAGGATTTTTAGTTCCATTCATTGGAATGCGCTATCATTTGCATGACTACCGAGGAAGTGAAAGAGAGCCTAAGAATGGAAAAGAGTTATTTAACTACAAACATACTTCTCTGCGCAATGTAGTTGACTTTTGGTGCATGGAAAAGTAGATTCAGAATACTAAGACAAGGCATGAACAATTATGAATGTGACATGCAAGTGAAAATAGTAATTGCTTGCGCTGTATTGCATAATTTTTTTACGTGAACACCAAAGTAGTGATGGAATATTCAATGAATATGAAAATGATGATATGGTTGTTGATGAAAGTGACGAACTACTGGCTCAGGGTAACAACATCGCTTCATCTTCTCGATCGTCTGATTCGAAAATGTAAGCTCATCGAGAAGAGATTGTTCATAAAATGTGGGAAGATTATATTAAAGAATAGGTTGAACTCTTTCAGATGAGAAAGCATATGTTCTTCAATGATTGCAATATTTATTTCCTTTTGTTTTCTTCTCTTTTTTTCCCCGAATTTATATTAGTTGTATTTTCATTACCATGATTTGTACCAAGACCTTTTCACTATACGAATATTTACTGTAATGATTCTTGTTGATTTGTTGCGGAAGTCATAAATCTTGTTACGTGAGATTTCTATTGTGCTATGTAATACAAATTTATGGTTAGTTTGATAGTTTTAAAAACTTATGGGTATAAATCATATTTCTTAAAAAATGAAATATGTTTCTCAAATTCTATGGCCAAACACATGGTAAAATTTCACCCAAATTTTCATCCAAATAATATTTGCCAAAAATATTTGAATATCTATGGCCAAACGCTAGCTAAGTATTTGAGTATTTTAACGGATGACAGAAGATATTGAAGAACATGACTAGTTTGCACTTTCAAATTCCAATCAAGATTTGTTAGAATGTATCTTGTTTTATTTTTTTCCCTCCTTAGATTAGGAGTTCACGTTAGAGTCTCGACTAAATCTGAATTGAGTAATGATGAACGGGCTTTCAATAAAATTTTCTCCACATCTAAGGCTCAAATCCGAGACTCCTAGTTAAGGGTCAAGTAACCTCAACACTGCATCACAACTGATGTTGGTTAGAATGTATCTTGTACAATTAAGTTTGGAGATGGTCTTCTTTTGCTTTGCAAAGGTGATATTTGCTCCAATATCCAAGAGCTGAGTAACTGCTTCTCAGAATTCTCTAATGCTTTTTGGCTTAGTATAGCAACATAATTTATCTTAATGGAGTAAGTCCAAGCGTGCAACGTAGGATTTGTAATTTCAAATGTTTCGGTTCTAATGGATTGAACCACAAAAGCTAGAGGATTGCCCAGACACGGACTTAACAACCTGCCTCATGCACCCACAGGACTAGAGTCTTCTGTGTGGACAATTTTAATATGAACGTCCAACATGAATAAATCATACATATATGATTATATTGGCCAAAAACCTAGCTCAGCCCCTGTCAATTAGCACTTATAATTAACAACGTCACCATATAGCGGGGGATGCGGTAACATAGCTAGAAACCAGTCATTTCTTCTTTGGGAGCTGAATATCTTTCAAATGAGAGTTTTTAGCTGCTAAGTATGGTCTACTCAACTTGAATCTTAATTCATGAATTTCAAATATTAAATAGTTAAAAGAGGATAATGCACCCGCAAAGGTGATCGTTAAAAGTGGGGTTATAGATTCAAAAGTTTCATTCATGTTCTTTAAGCCAAGCTTATCGGACAGAACTCGCCTAAAACTTGAATTTTAACTATGCACATAGCGCGTTAACAAAATAAAAGAGGGCAGCATCTCTATAGTAATGCATATGCAGAGCAAAGGATTTGTCATTATATTTGAGCATTCAATACTTTGAAAGGAGAGGCAAAATGCTGTTCAGAATTTTCACGTGAAAACCCTCATTTAATAAATTCTTCCAAAAGGTTAAACCTCTTCAATTCTTCCTTTGTAAACAATACTATTACTACAAAAATTGACCCTCTGAGTCCCCAACTTAATGAATATAAAATGTTAATAAAAATTTTAAAATGGTATATAAATTTTGAATTTAATCAAAATGGTAAATCGCTAGTAACATCAGCGATTTACTAAAAAAAAATTAAATGAAATCGCTGTCATGGCAACGATTTACAAAATAAATTTTTTTAATGATCTTTAATAAATCACTGTCTAGGCACCGATTTATCATAGATTTTTTTAATTACTTATTAGAATTTTTTTTTAAAAAAAATATTAAAAGCAAATCGCTGCCTAGGCAGGGATTTGTGTACCAATTTTTTAAACTTAAATTGTGGTAAAGGCAACAATTTTTTTTTCCGAATAAATTGCTTACAGCAACGATTTAAGTTAAAAAAAATAATTTTAAAAAAAATTGGTACACTATGCAGCGATTTGCATTTTATTTTTAAATTTCTAATAAATAATTTTTAAAAAAATTAAGATGAATCGCTGCCTATTAAAAATCATCAAAAAATAATTAAATTTAGCAAATCGCTCGTGTTGCAGCGATTTTGCTTTTTCCGGCGAGCAAAATTGTTGCACTACCAGCGAGTTTGTCGTTTTGGTTAAATTTAAAATTTATATACCGTTTTATATTTGTTGTTAACATTTTATACCCATTAGGCTCCGGACTCCAATATGCCATACATATATACTTTATAACATAACAAAATTTGGACTGTATTCTAAAATAAATAAATAAAATAAAGCAACAAATTTATCAAAAAAAATTGCCACTAATTATGAATTTTAAGATTATAATAAGATTTACCTTTAAATAAAAATATAATTCTTTCTAAAATATTGAATCGATACGTCATTAATATCATTATCATAAAAAATTAAATACGTAAAAGTAAACAACAACCCAAAAAGTGGGCTAGCTAGAAGTTTGAAATTCAAAATTAAAAATATTAGGTGTCATAACTCATAGTATTGATTCTTGAAATGCCATTTTTCTAATTTTATTTAAGTATAATAAATGCAATTGGAAAAAGGTTATAGAATTGCTTCAGTGAGCTTTTTCATCGCTTCTTAGCTTTAGAGTAAATATACCAACCTTCTTTTTCTTGTTGGGTTGTTGGCAATATTCAATGTCTGTTCCTCCCATATCCCCTCCACCCCCTACTCCATCGTTTCTTTTAAATTTACTAGGTTAATAGAAGAGTTCGAGCAAAAAATATATATATATATATCTAGTGATTGTAACACCAACGCAATAAATTCGACAAATTTAATATTCTTTTATGTGAGCTTTTAAATAATTACTAAAATTTCAATAATATTAAATTTAAATGCATATTTTTTAAAAAGAGTTTAAGTTGTATATTTCATCTTTTACGTTATCAGGTCATTTAAAGAAGGATAAAAATCATTGTGAAATATGAAATTTGTAATTTTAAATATTAAATAAGATAGGTTACTTTATTCAAGTCTACAACATTTAACCTAATTTTATGGTGTAAATCATTAGACATTGACGTAACTTAAACTCCTTTACAAAGATAATAAATTCGACGTGCTAAGAAAATTTTAAAGATTGACCTCATCAAGTTACAGCTCTAGAGGTATCGTCTAAGTTATATTTATATACAGAGAGAGAGGAGGACCATATGTATATATAAGAAGGCATAATATTCTTGATTACAACTAAGATATGCCAACTACTTCCCTACCATTATATTTATTCTAATTCCTCAAAAATTCCTGTTTGTCTATCTATATATCCTCCCATCCTTTTCACTTTCCCTTCAGCTAACTTATTAAAATCTGCTGCCTAATCTTTGCTTCCATATCATGCAGGTAACATTATTTTAATTCTTCTAACGAGATATTGGTGCGGTTCAATTAGAAAGCGCACTTCTTTATATATAGAACTTCGTTATTTAATTGAGCCGTGCCAATATCACGTATTACTATAACGTTGAATATCATTTTTTTTTGTCTATTTAATTGTTTTCCATTAGTTCCTAAATGAATTTTGAAGCTTCTTGTCCGCCCTTTCCTAATTAAATCCAGATCAATTTTCTCTCTCTTTATATATATATTTGAAAAATGAAATGTAAACAAATTTATTTTGACTTATTTAGAGATATATCATGTGTGTGCGCCTTTTAAATAACTTAATGGCGTAAATATTTTTTTATCATATCAGTGTATAGAAGTTAAACATATATTTAATTATATCTATTTTGAGATAGGATCTCAATAATTAAGATGACAAGGAATGTTGATCGTGACGAAGTAACAAGATTTTCTTGTCTAAATTTCCAGAAAATAAAAGAAAGTCTTCTGTTGGAATATCTTAGAAGATGAGATATTATCTCCATTAATTTCAAAATTAGCCTTTTTATTTTTCTATTCGTAGATATTCATGCATTCATGTTTATTCTTCGTGTTATTTTTTAATATAATTATAAACATTATCATTCTGTTGAGTTGATAACTAATTATTGTTTGTTTATAAAATTTCAATGCTGGAATTTATTTTGAACAAATATATGTATGTTGTTATGGTATTATATATGTAGGTATAAATAATGCAAGTAGCACAAAAAAATAAAGATGGGTGTTGTTGGAATTAAATGATTTGGAGCTAAAAAGGTTGCCTACTTTTGAAAAAAAAGAAGAAGAAAGTGTTGAGTAGGTGAAAAGATTTATGATTATGATATGCTTTCTTGACCTCATCACTCATAGTAAAATTTCAATATTTACACACATGATAATAAGTTATCTTCCTTTGTGGGGGAGTAATAAATAATGAACAACGTAACTTGACGTACTAACACAATGAAATTAAAAGGTGCTTATTTCTAATAAAGAAGCATTTTTTAGAAAATTTGTTAAGTTGTATAAAAATGCAAGAAAAAGAAAATTTGTAATATAAGTATATTTTTTAAACCTCTTATAGGCTATATACCTAAAGTAAAAAGTTATTGCCATTGATTGTTTTCTTTTCCTGAATTGGTATGTTTAAGTTTTTTCATCTTCTTAATTGTAATATAGTGAAGTCTTATGAATTTTTTTCTATTATTAAGCTTTATTTTAATTTGCAGAAGAAAAAATAAGTTGGTGTATTAATTTTTGAAAGTTTAAACTGAATCTACAATTGAAAATTGTTTGGATTGACATTATAAGGCTAGTTGGAGTAAATTTGGATCAACTACGAAGAATGAATGCGTTTTTTAAATTAAATTTCTACTTAAGTCAGGATGATTATCAGTATTTTTAACAAATTATCGAAATATTTAAGTTATTTTTATAGCACTTTTCTTAATGAGGTTAAATTTTAAATTATAACATCAAAAGATCCTATTCCTGCAACTATGTCTTCCTTTTCGTCTCGCACTTACCGTTAAACTAAAGCCCAAACAACTCGGTTTATTGCGGGGCCCATCTGATCAAATAATTATACGTGACAATTATATAAGCTTACCTATAAATTATGCTTAAGTTATAGCAATCGCCTGTAAATATGCAAACTATAGCTAAATAGTCTAATTAAATTTATTATAATGACTATTTATAAAATTTTCTCGTTAAAGTATATTATTATATGAATATAAGGAGAAATTGTAAGACAAGATCAATAACTATTTTAAATACATTGTGAAAGGGGATATGAATGCTTTTCTATAATAATCACCCGCTATACATTAATATACACAACATATTTGGTTATGGCTTAATCGATTTATTCATTTATTCTACTTATTATGTGTTAATTGTGTTCTAGAGGATTATGGGCTGTGGTATGAAGGAGAGATGAATGTATGGTGATCGTTGACAATTTTTTTTTTGGCTAAGTTTCTTCAAATTTGGGTTTGTTTTCATTTTCTGGAACTGATCGTTGGTCTGAGCAGGTGGTTTTGGTGGTGAGCACTTTCGACTCTAACGAAGGATGAATTGACACGATATATTTAGAAAAATGTCTCATATTAATTATGACATAGTTTTAATTATGAGACGCGTGCCTGAGTTAAGGTTAAGCTGGAGATTTGGAGACAAATTTTAGAGCCTACAGAGTTTAGGTATAGTAGAACCTCCTAGACATAAATATATATTTGGAGTGCAAGTTCAGCAACGTAATACCAATGGCTGATATGGAAATGTGGCTTAGAACGCAGGTCAATCAAAGAGAAAGAACGGCGGTTTAAGTATTTTGAACATACTAGGAGAGATAAGATTAGAAATGAAGATATTGATACAATATAAAAATGACCTTTATAGAAGACAAACTATGAAAAACATTTTTATTATACTTTTAAAGTTTAAAATGATTTTATCATCCCTCAGTATAAAGTAAACAAATTTCAAAAATGTAATCACTTTTTATTTACAATAATCAAATTAAATTTAATTATTTGATACTGTTACAACTTACAAGTATACAAATGGCGGAACATTAAGATGTTCATACTTCATAGGGCAGTTGAGCTTTAATTCTAATAGTAATTGCGTCGTCACTTTTTATTTTAATCAAAGAGGCCATCAATCTGCCTATCAACAATTAGGAATCTTATTTTTTCTTAGGTTCTCTATACCTATTACTTATTTAATACTATAAGTAGTAATTAATACTAACTAGCTATTTAGTTTTGAATATATGTTTGGTAAAAAGAAATCAATTATCTCATTCAATATTATATCTTTTACTTATAATGTCTCCTATCAGATATTGTTATTTCAAAAAACTTATTTCGATTTTTTTTTTTTATAGAATTGATACATAACATATCACGAATAAATCTCACATTCCATTTGAATTAATTAATTGAGAAAAGAAACTACTTATGATTGAACAAATGTTACTACCAGAAAATACATATGTAGAAAATAAAATTGATCAATGCGTAAGACTTTTGCGGTCGTTCATTAGAGCCTGCTACGAGTCTTTTTTACTTCCTCCGCTTCAAAAAATATGACCTTGTTTTGCTTTGGAACGAGTTTAAGGAAAAAAAGACTTTTAATTTCAATCTTATGGTTCTTTATTAAAGTTATATCAAATATATCAAAATGTCCTTTAATCTTGTAATTTTAAACATGCGACGTGAAAAGTTAAAATAAAAATATTGTAAAAAAAAATCATTCTTTTTTAACGAAAAGAGTAATATATTTAAACTAATTAAAATTAATTTTAAAAATAATGGATAAGTAAAAATGATATGAACCCAATTGAAGCAAGTGTCACTTTTTTTTTTGTTTTTGGTAGTTTGAGTTTTAACAAAACAAAGCAACCACTTACAATTATTAGTACTTCCGTTTTACAATGAATAAAATGACATAGTTTGACTTGATACGGAATTTAAAAAAAAATATGAAAACTTTTGAATTTAGTAGTCCTAAATTAAAATTACGTGAAAAGTATAAAATTACCCTTTGATGTTGTGATTGTAAAACTGAAATTAAAATATTACAAAAAAAAATTACTATTTTTTTCATAGAGAATAAAAAAAATATCCTTTTTTAAACGAAAAAAATACTACTTACTAAATAGAAAAACCGCTCTTTCATATTTCATATACCGAATACAAAAGCATATACTCCTATAAACCTCCCAAACAAAATCCCAGAGCCTGCTTTTCTTTTTTTCTCCAATAAAAGAAAAATCCCAAAATTGCATCTCTGAGCTAAAAATAAGAAGGCCATACTTTAAACATAATGAGAACTTATGATACTAAACTAAATGATAATAAGATGTGATGATTGATGAAAAATGGATGACCTAATTTTGTTAGTTTATACTTATAATAATACTAAGTAGGTGCTAGCTAGCTATTCCAAAAAACCTGTCTTAGTTAAAATGGCATTCCTCAATTTGCTAAGGTCCCTTCCCTTGAGAGTCCTTCCAACACCTTCCATCATTGAAAATGAAGCTATTTGATTCCTTGCTACTCTTCTTGCTATATATTCATGGGGTGGCACTATTCCATCACCATAATCATCTTCTTCTTCTTCGACCACGACATTTCCAGGATAAGTAACTGATGAGAAAGAAGAATCATCCTCTGTTATGATAGTACTAACTCTTCTTCTTGATTTCTTGTTATTGCTATTCTTGAACCATTCTGGAATCTTAACAGGACTTGATGAAGATGATGACTTATGCGACGTACTTTTTCCTCTTGGAAGAATCACTGTTGATGAATCTCTTTCATTCACATAACCCCATACATCTTCTTCTTCAAAGTCTCCATCTTTCTCTGTTTTTCCTCTGTTTCTGTTGCTATTAAACTCATCCATTCTTTGGTTCTAATTAGATCTCTTAAAGAATGAAAAAGTTTGGGACTTTGGTTTTTGTTTAGGGTGGAAGTACTAAAAAGGGGAAGCCTAACAACTATTTATAGCTAAGAGAAAGGGATGTTTGTTTTTTGGTATTTTGAGGAATCATTAAGAAAAAAAGAAGAGGATAAAACAGAATGGTATAAGGAATCTTCCTCTGCTCTAAAACAAAGTTTAATTTTTCTTTGAATAGTAAAAAACAAAGGAAAAAAAAATGTGAATATTTTATTTTTTTTTAGAGTTATGAGAAAGAAAGAAGATCACAGATTTCAAGGGGATAGCTGGTTTTAATACCAAGTCCCCTGCAGCAACAGTATCACAAGGAAAAAGACAAACACCACAGAGATTTTTGCATTGATAAATATGAGTTTTGTAACTTTGATCACCCTCAAAACTGGAAACTGAAGCCAAAAAGTTTGTACTAAAATGATTTCCATGACACGTGCCTCATAAAGAGTTCACCCATCTCATTAATCATCGATGTGGGACTTTTGTCATTCTTTTAACAGTTTGAAACCGAAAGCCAAAGACAGAAATATTTATTTAAGCAAATGAAACCTCACAGAAAAATAAAAAAAAATATGTTAGTATGTATGTGGATGGATAAAAGGGTACATAAGCATCAATCAATACTATTGAGTTCTTAAAAAAACAGGTAAATATCGATTGGGTAAAGTGTAGAGTAACTATTGGTTGAGCTAACTTTTCATTGATTTCTGAGGTCTTATCCAATACGGGTAGCAGGAGCCAACTAAGCTTTTGCATTAAACCCTTTTTCATAAGGGAGTGAAAACAACTTTATTAGGGGCCTAGAAAATTGAGTTTAACCATTTAGTACTATTATAGTTTCCTTATAGCTCATTAAGATTTATGCACTGTAGTTTTAAAATTCACAAACTATAGGTTAAAACTTACTTTATGTGTAATGAACTTCCATCGTGGCATGATAATCTAAAAGTAAAACATATAATTTGTGATGTACTACTTAGTAAAGAAAGTTTATATTGTAGATACGTATTTAAACTCTGTATCGAAAAATTGAATGTTTTGAGATTGTTGCCTAAACAACTAAAGTAAAAAAGCAAAGTGAGTGTCCTGAGATGTGGGATTATTACTGAAACAGCCACAGCGTACCACCAACCAATGAAGCCCTATCACACTTATTATGGGACGGGACATTGGCGCAAAAGCCAATAATTTTACCTTAGGTACTAATTTTTGAGATGTAAACACACTTAACCAATTTATTATTGAAGTGTAAAAAAAGAAATTATTCTCATTCTAGTTAAGTAACAAGTGTAATTTTTTGACAAAATAAATTCGATTGAAATGTAGTTTTCATCCTTGGTAAAGTTAGGGGTAGAATCAGAGGTAGATCTACGAGTTCACGTGAGAAAAGTCAAAAATCAAAAATTTCTGTTTATGGAGTTTGAATTTGCTAATTGAATTTTGAATATAAATTACTTACACATTCTCGATAAATTTCTTAGTACAAATATAAAATTTTGGTTAAAATTATTATTCAGTTGCTCCATAACAAGAACTCTAGCTACACTCTTACCTGCGAATACAATAACTTTTATTCAATTTCCCTTTTGTTGTACCTTCATAATGTAATCCTTTTGATCAGTATTAATAGATAATATCTTACTATTTTATTGTAAAATTAGAGTTGTTACAATTTTTCTCTTTTTATCATAACTATCTACCTGATTCCAATAATCAAAACTAACCATTACAAAATTTACATTTTATTTTAAGTTTCTACTTTCTACATGCACATAATCTCCAAACTAAACAAATATTTTTACAAAAAAATCAAATATTATATATTCAAATTTATGATAAAATTAAAAAAAAAATTGGCTTCTAAAATTCGTGAGATATTGAGCATAACAAGTAAAGATTGATTAGTATAATTTGGACCACATGACATAGTCCATGATATTAATACTTTAGAATTATATAATTAGTTTCCAAAAAAAAAGGTGAAGTGTGGATCACAATACTTTTTAAGTCTATTTTGGATAATCTTAGCACCTTGAGGACAGATCCACATCTTCCAACAACCAAAAAAAAAAGGTACACAGCTAATCTTTATTTCAATTTGTTCATTTTGCTTATTTTTTAAGTCGATTTAAAAGAAAAGTATCTCTCTCTTCTTTCTTTTAAAAAAATATTTTTAATATCCTTGGTGACTTATTTAAAATAAATAAAATCAAGAATATTTTAATATATTATATAGGCATAATACACATATTGGACTCTAAACTTGGCTTTAAATTTTAACTTTGACCTCTAACTTTCATAATGCACAAACAGATACTTTAACAATCTAACTTTTAAATAAATAAACACGGCAAAATACACGTAAGACACCACGTAGGATAAAAATAACATGTAGGACATGTGTGTCTATTTGTTCAACTTTATACAAGTTTAACGGTCTACTTGTGCACACCAAAAATTGAAGGGCATAAATGTAATTTGAAGCCAAGATAAAGGGCATATTTATGTATTATGTCTATTATATATATCACCCATTAACAATCACAAGATTAAATAATTAGGAAACTGCATTTGTTTGAGAAATCATTTATTATCACTTTTTATTTCAATTTCCCCCTTACTTCACAAAATGTGATATTTAGCAAAGATTAACGGGTCGTTTAGAAAATCAACTCGTGTGATTAAAAATTCCTTCTTGAGCACGCAATAATCTTAATATTAAACACTAAAAGTTGATCACTTGTTGAAGAATATCAAATAATTAATCACGTTTAATGAAAGAAGAGCTTCTTATTGGAATGTCAATATTAAGATAAGGTTTAGAATTTAGGAAAGAGAATAGAATAAATTATCCTAATCGGCAGATTCCGAAATTTAATGATTTTATATTTACCAACCATTAAGAGTAAAGCAAATATATAATCTTGCAATTTTTTATTAACGAGCCTAGTGTTCGTAATCCTAATAAAACTTTCCACCCATTCAGCATCGATCAAACTAAAAAGTGATCGTTTGTTTAACTTTGTAAGCTTACACTTCATATTATCTATACTTCAATACCGAACAAGTTAGAAATGAACTACAAGTGGATTCATAATTAGGAGCTAGAATGGACAAAATCTAGACAACTTCATTTTTCAAGTATGCACTTGAGTGGGATTAACATTGAGAACAAAAAAATGAACATAAAACACATTTCACCTTTATGTACCTATTTTACCTTTTTCAATATTTATGAAGATAAGTGGGGACAAAAGCTAATGCTCTTTGTCTCTATCACTGTCCAATTCCAATCCAGTCACACTCACTCACCACTTAGCACAAAATCTTTCTTTATAATGGAAGGCAAATTTAAGTGGTTATAGGAACAAGATTGACAAGCTACATTGTAAAATCTTTCTTTCATCTTGTTCTAATTTCTAAAAGGAGGCCAATTAGCTCCTTGGTTTTCAGCAAGAAGATAATTGATACATTTGACTCCAAGTGCAGCAATTAGTATGAACATGAAATTCATTGCTGAATTCTTTTGCTGTATATACTGTCATCATCTATTCAACAGTGCAATGAATATGTAACAAAATTAGGCTCAACTTGACATCAATGTGTCATCAAATGATGATTATTTCATTGATATTTAAGCTTTGTGAAATACCTGGTGTAGTAGTTTTCACTCACAGTCCCAAACTTGTCAAGCAAATAAGGTTATACCGCGTGGCAAGTACACATAGATAAGCAAATTGCAAAAGAGTATGAAACTTTAAGTTCCTGCATGAGTAATGTTGTATGAATAGTATCCAAAGTCAAGAGTATTTTGCTTCCTTTGATTTTCTCATTTCTTCCCAAAACGAATAAACATCAATAGACTACATTATTAGATGCTAAGCTATTTCATATGTTGCACAAAAAATGAAATGAACTGAGTACTGTCTGCTATCGATCTCAGGGTAGACAGGATTTATACTTTGTTATAGGACATAAAAAGCAGTCCAGACGCAAACACTGAACCTGTACAGACTGCAGATCTCGTGAATCTTTCTGCTACTATCTCACAAACTAACTACGTTAACTTTCTAGCAGCATGGTAAAGCTCCAAATAATCAAGAGCAGGTCGGTTCCAAGACCAATCTTGTTCCATAACCTGCTTGCATAAAGAGTTGAACCAATCTCGACCATCGTACCAAGCAGAGAGAGCTCTGAAACACAGAACCGTAAGTGAGATATCAACAAACGAGGAGAAGGGGAAGGAAGTATGCATCTTAGGGTTTGCATAAGATGGAAAAACATGGTGCAAAGAAAAATAATATATCCACCCGCAGTTATGGCAATTCACTCCAAGTTCCACACTTCATATTGTCATTTCCAATAACAATGCTTATCCACAAGTTTGTTTTTTTCTACATTTGAGCAGTTCTATTTTCAAAACTAACTACTATTTGACAGCAAACACACTGCCCCCCACCCCCACGTCTCCCCGTGAAAAAGCTTATAATAACGAATGATCTCGAATTCTCAAGAATGAAACAAGAAAATGAGAAGCAAATCGCCAAACTAATGTATTCCCATAAAAGTAACCAAGTGCCGCAATCACCAAGGCTAGCGTAGGATGGTTCCACCATGAATGTCATCGAGCTTTCCTAAATCATTCTTGCAATTGAAGTTCAGCTCTGGGACGCTTACGATCTGAATGCCCACAGTGAAAAATCCATCATTGCTACGATGACTGGGCTTAATTATTTTCTTTATATATATCATATGGATGCAAAGATAGCATAAATTGGGTGGAGGATCCTCATAGAAGTAGCTGAATGTCGACTAATTTTAAGATGGTTTGTGCTGCTCTTCTTTCTCCATCTGGGAACATTGAGAAGGGGCACTAAGACAGTGGCTTTCCTGGAGTTTCTTCAGTCGAGAGGAGGAAGAGAGTAAATTTGAAGGCCACATGGCATTTACAAGAGAAAAGTGAAAGGTGAATCTCTCACATGTGTAACTTGGTTCTTGGGTTACACATGGACTAAAGATTTTTATTATGGAGGGACGCTCAAGAGGAGGCTCAACAGAAGTGGGCCTAAAGTATCCGGAGACTGGTTAGGCCAACAGGCCAATGAGAGGGAAGGGACAGGGGCACCAGGGAGCATTGTTAGTGGCTCCATGGACTTCTTTGAGAGAGAAAAGCCCTGAGCAGTAGAGTATGAGGAGAAAATCGAGCAGGACAACATGCTATGCTAGCATGTAAAGAAAATGAACCTCAAGCCTACCTCACCCTCAAAAGATAGCCCATGAGATGTCCAAAACCATATAATGAGACAAAGCAGATCCTCAACCAGTATGGACACTTAACACACACGCAAACACACACATCCCACTCCCGCGCACAACCAAGGTCGGATAGATGGAGTCTGGACGCCAATACATGAGAGCACAAAACTGGATAAAACCAAAGATAACGATTGATCTAATTCTGATTCCAATTTAAATGAAACAAACCTAGGGCCTAATTCAACGTCAAAAGTTAACTCATAAAGCGAGAATTGCTCAAAAAGACATGTAAACTTAGTCCTGGACATCTGGAGCGTGGACGATATAACATAGGGGGC